GCCTTCAGGGGGATGATTTGTTCTAAGAATGTTTATGATTCCTTTTATAATTTAAACATTTATTATCCAATTAATACATGTCAGTGTGAGAATATTAAATAATTATAGGCGAAGAGAACAAAAATCAAAGTGACCCATAATTTTACCAACCAAAGAAAATGTCTATTAACATTTTAAAGAATATTTCTGCCCAAACTTCCCTAAGCACGCAAATTTTTCCTTTTAATAAAATGCCAAGTTAGTAAATATACTTCATAACCTGCTTTTTACATCTGAAATAATATGAATATATCTTTCTAAATTAATAAATATATTTTACACTTTCACTTTTAATTTTGTACCATAATTTATTTAATTCACAATTGTTGGTCATTTAGCTCACCTACAGTTTTTTGTTATTATAAAGTGAATAAAATGATCATCTTTGTAGCTAGATCTTTGTGCACATTTTTAAAAAGATTTATTTATTTATTTGAGAGAGAAAGAGAGAGCAGGAGTTGAGGAAGAGGGAAAGAATCTCAAGCAGACTCCCCACTGAGTTCAGAGCTCCACAAGGGGCTCAATCTCATAACCCTAGGATTATGACCTGAGCCAAAATAAAGAGCCACTCAGGCACTCCCTTTGTACACATTCTTAATTTCCTTAGGATAAATTCCTAAAAGTAGAATTTCTGGGTTAAAGTATTTTTAATTTAAATATATGTTAATATCTAAGCATATTTTAGATTTTAGATAATCTAAAATCTGTGAATAACCACCTCTTTTTACATGTTCTTAGACTATTATTTGACAGAATTCCCTTTCTAAGTGACATCAACAAGTAACCAAGCTTCAATCAGTATTAGTATAACTTTTGTTTATGTATTCATTCTTAAAATTCTTAAAATTGCTAGCCTTTCTCACATTCATTTGACAAACATTTATTTAGGTACTACTAGGTGCTAGGCACTGTGCCAGATGCTAGGGATAGAAAGTGAGTAAGACATGGAGTAATGATCCCAGTGTGACTCAGTATACTTTCCATGGGACTATAAAGGAAGCTAGGTCTCAACTGGCCTACACTGGTCAATAAAAGCTTCGTACTGTCAGGTATGATGTCTAAATGATGTTTTCAGGAAAATCATCAAATGGCCCAGGTAGCCCAGGTGGTCCAGAAAAGGAAGAATATCCCAGGCAAAGACAAAAAATACTTGCAAGAGGATAGAAGCATCAATGAATAGGTCATTTTGTGTGACTGGACCATACACAACTAGAAACCTGGTAAACACTAAAAATACTTGTTGGTAGTGAGGAAATTGTGTGAAGACTGTATTACTGGATCACTAACATCATTAATTAATTATTGTTCTTTATTTATTTTTCATTAACCTTTTGCAGTCCTATTAATTCTGAATAAACTCATTCGGTTAGATTTTTCTGTTTGTGCCAAGGAATTAATGTTTGTCCTAGTCAAAAGAAAGTCCCTTCCCACTATCTCTGTGTTTTGGGTAAACTCTATACAACGGCACAAATGGTTAAAGTCCAGACCCCACAAGCCCCAAGGAAATGCAATTTTCAACCCCAGGAGACATCCTTTTTGACCAACATACTTGATCTATTTTTCAGACATTATATACTCCTCCACAATAAGTAGGAGGAAAAAAATTATCTTTCAGTTCTGCATATACTCAGAACACATCCATACAGGATAATTTTTTCTTACTAAATAATGTCTACAGTACCTTACTATACCAAAGAAGACAATGTTTCCCTATATTCCAAATGTAGCCGAAAAAGTAAGTTTTCCATTTTTTTGTACAGCTTTAGTGTACTCAAAGTACTTTCACATATTGCTCATTTGAGCCTCAAAATAACCTTGAAAAGTCTTGAACCTCAAAACGACCTTGAAATATATCCATATTTTTGCAGAGAAGGAAACCAAAGATGACAGTACATAACTTACCCAAATTCACACAATTGTTATAACTAAAACATGCTGCTCAATAGTCAAGTTTGGCCATCATTTGGTCTAGAAAATTTCTAAAACGTCTCAATAAAAGATTGGACTAATTGTGCTTCCTTGGGCTTCCCATTGCCCTCATGCATGTCTATCAAGCACCCATTTTACCAGTGCTTCTCAAATTTTAATGTGCATGCAAATCACCTGAGAATCTTGTTGAAATGTAGATGATGATTCCATTGATCTGGGGTAGGGCCTGAGATTCTGCATTTCTAACAAGCTCCTGAGTGATGCTGATATTGCTGGTCTAAGGCATTTTAGTGGATCATCACAGCCCAGTGGGTTTTTTTCTTAGTTCTCCTGCACTCCACTGTAAGCTTCATAAGGCCATGAACTATGCATTGTTAATCACAGCATTCCCAGCATTTAGTTCAAGATTTGACAGGCTATAAAAGTCTCTGTAAATATGAATGAATTAATGAATAAGCAAATAAATGAATAAATGAAATCCATGTTTTTAGCCTAGAGATGTTTCTACTATCTCATGCTGTCTCAAAAACATGGGCCAGGACCACCTTTCCCTTTTAACTACCGCATTGTATTAAAGCATATAAACTCCAGCTTCCTTAAGAAAACACACACAAAACAACCTAAACACACTGAAGAATTGTTTTTCTTCCTCCCCTAAGTATACTTGAGTGTTCCCACTTGGGGTAGGAAAAGGAATATAAGCAGTGCTCTCCTCTACTCATTCAGAATCCAAGCTCACAGAGACTATACCAACTGCAGCAGGCAGCGTTCAAGGTCACCTTCAGAATCAAGATCTAACTGGCAGGTGAGGCCTAGAAATAACCCATCACATCTGCCTCTATTCTAAGAGAATCTGGGAAATACTACCTTTGGTTGGGTAGTCACTCTCTAGGAACAATATACTGGAGAAGAGAGCAAGAATCTTAGGTGGGCACAGCCCACTCCACTCCTATACAAGCCCCCTTGACTACCCACTGGTCTTTAAAGGCATGCCATACTTTCCCAGATTGTATGGCCTAATCCATGATTTTCCCTTTCCTGGATTTCCTATACCCGAAACAAGCTCCATGTTTATCTTCCAGTTGCACATCTCAAGACTTTTTATGCATTTTTTTCAGATCTCCCAAACAAATATGTTCTCTCCCTTTTTTGAATCTTTCTAATGCTTTATACTTTTCAAATAATCTCTAACACATTCTACCAAGCATTTCAGTCATGGGTGTACTTAAAAGATCCTGAAGAGCAGGGACTCTACCTGAATCATCTTGGTAGCCCTCTTGGCATCTAGCAGAAACCCCGACAAATAGCAGTAACTCAGCAACCCGTGGCATTTGTAAGTCGAACTAAAAACACGTATAATAAATATAAAGAGTTCTTCTGGTAGTAACCTTGCTCTATGTCTTTCAACATGGAAGACAGCTATAACTTCAAAAGTAAAAGAAAGTAGAACTATCAGTGCTCAAAAACTACAAATATAGCTAGAGCCATGGCATAAGATGAAATACTTCTGGTTCATATACTTCCACTGAGCAACACTGCATTTTATACACTTCTTTAATGGTTCAGATGTATAGTTAACATCACATGGAGACTCATAACCTTCAGAATACAGCATGAATCAGCTGACTGCATAGCAAAGAGAATATAAAATGCCATCAAGAATGTCCTAAACTGGAACAGTAAACTTTTAAAGTACAAACAACTCATCTGTTAGCAGCCTAGTATTTGGCTGTCTGGAAAGTAAATACATTAGAAAGATATCTTTAAAAGAGATTCTATTACCTGTGTAGGTCAGCAATTTTCAAGCATGAGTGTAGAGCAGCTCCAGGTAAGAGGTGCTGTGACCCTGCCTTACTGCAGTAGATAGTAGTACATAAGCAATCCATCGGTTAAAACATGAAGATCTTTCTAATTACCAGTCCATGAATCTAATAATTTCCTTAGGCTAAGCCAGATTTGTCCTCACTTACCCAGGTTATGGGGCATGGATTCTTAGATACACAATCTACAGAAGAATATCATTAAAAACATAAATCTGAAAACAAATTATGTCCTCCATTATCTTACCTTTTTGGTTTTTCAAAACCTTGCTTAAGTGGTCTGGTTTGATTAAGGGTGCTCCAGGGAACCCAGGGTCCGGGTTTAACAGCCCACTGAGAGAAAAAGTCCCTGCGCTGACTTGAGGAAGGCTGTTGCTTTTCATCTGAAGCCTGGAATCAGCAGCTATGTGCAGCTAAAGCTTTTCAGAATACAGATAAGGGAATGTAACTTAGTCTCCCCATGAGAAGGGAATGAAGGACTCCCTCTTTATTCCTTACAGTTTCCTTTTGGTTCTCAAGCTGACCCCCATACACAGAGGGCAGGGAGAGACGGAAGAAAAAGTAGCCACTTCCCGGATTGGTGGGTGGCAGGTTTAATCAGCCAGGGAGCTCCCATCCCAGGCCTGTCCCGCGCGGCCGCCACTCCAGTAGATCTCCTCCCCGGCCCCCCAGAATCTTCCAAGTTTACATACTGCACAGAGGGTCTCGGCAACACGACATTCTCTCTAGGCCGCGCCCATGAAAGGGGCTCCCACCATGGGAATGGCGGACAGACCCCGCAAGGGGAGGGGAAGGCGTGAGGAGCCCGGATTGCGCGGATCCAGCTCTCGAGTCAACAAGCGGTCACGTTCTCGCGATGACCTGCTCCAACACTCCACCGCCTCGTAACAGGCTGTTACCGTCAGAGAGAACGTTCCCTCCGGGCCCCGGGGTGGTATATGTGACCGACCGAGTGAAGGCCTCTAGGTAAATCTGTAAGATTCTGGTGGGCAGGTGCAGAGGTCTACTCCAGTTGCCTGCGCTCAGGACATGCCCCGGATGGAACCTCCCTGGCTTATTAAACCCGCCACCTACCAACCTGGGGTGGCTGCCTCCTTCTTCCGTCTGTCCCTGCCCCCTGTGTATGGGGGCCAGTTTCAGATTACACCAGCGAAGCGCCTGGGGTTGCGAAAACATTTCCACCACCACCCCACATCCACGTGAAACACAGAGTGCAGACGAATAAAGAGAAGAAAAGGGTAAGCTTGAACAAAGTTCCTTTTGGGGAAAGAGAAAAAAATAGGATCAGACAGAGAGAGCTTTACAGCTTAAACACTAAAAAAAATTAAAATGCAATCCTTCCACCACCCCCAATATGCGTAAAGGAGTATCAGCAAAGTTCTGATATCTCATCTTGATTACTTTGATCTGTATATCTTAACAGGGAAATAGGAAATAGGAAACTTTTTCCAAAGAGTTTTGGATACCACAGTTATATGGTTGTCCTGAGGATGGACTTTCCTGTTAAGTGATCCCCTGTGGAAGCCAGGGGCTTTGGGAAGTAGTTAACACTCAATTTTGTGGCTATCAAATCAAAATGCAGGATTTCTGGGAGTTATGACCGGTAATCCAGAAAACGGGGCTTATCAGTTAAGCTTACTAATTAATTTATCAATATCACTTAAATTGTCCATTCAAGGGGTATTTGAGGATCTTGCGTGGGATCATGGGGGATCCTGCAGGGGACACAAAGGTAAGTAAAGCAGCGCTTGACCTCCAAGGGGTTCATTGTCTGTTTGGTGATTTGTGTTGTGGCTCTTGAGATAGGGTGGCTACAGGAAAAGGGTTTTGTTCCAAAAGAAAGGGGAGCACATGAGAGTTCAGAGGAGAGGAAGAAGATATCTGGTTGGATGGAATGAAAAAACACTTTATAAAATGGGAAGATTTGAGAAAAGACAAGACTTGGAGGATAGCTAGTGTTTTGTCAAAAGGAAACAGAGGTGAGGAAAGCGTCTGTAAAAGGACAGCAGCATAAACAATAGCACTCTTCGTCAGCATCAGACTGGCATTCACGGAGGACTCACTTCATGGTGGGCACCGAGCTAACTTCTCTCCGCGGTGAACGCCTCTAATCTTCACAACCACACTGCAAATTCTATTATTGTCTGCATTTTACAAAAGAGGAAACTGAAATTCTGGTTCGTTGCCCAGGACCATATAGCTAAAAGTAGCCACCATCTGAAACTGAGAATGTTTCAAGTACCTGTTGGAACCTAGTTTGAATGGAGCTTTTGGTGCATATCTCTAAACTAAATAGTAATAAGTCTAGAAATGCAGGTCAGAATTTCCCAAGGTCCCAAATACTAGATAAAAGACTCTGTTGCCAGACAGCGTGGGCAGCCCCTGAAAGGTTTTGAGCAGGTTCTGACATTACCCAAGTCAGTGGCATCATAGACATAATAGAATGGAGGGAACGGGGAGGACAGTAAGACCCAGAAGTCCTTGGCAATTTCTCAGGTTAGAAGCAAACTACGAGTGAAGGCCTTGATGATGAAATGAGGTAAGAGAGATGATAAACATAAGAAGGTCAAATCAACAGAAAGTGTCAGCTGATTGAGTTCTGGAAATCTTAGGGAAAATAGGAAGTCGACAGTGACTCTCAGATTTGGGGTTAGAGGCTGAAATGATGGTTTCAGAAATAGAAACAGGTGAGAAAAGATGATTGAAGGGAAGACAATGCCTCTTGAGTCACCCTCCTCCTGCTTGTCCTCCTGATCAACACCGTCACCATCATCACAGTCTACAAGGGAGGGCCCTTGTTCTGTTCCAGGCAGCATTCTAAGCATTTAACGCATATTAACTAATTCAACACTGAAAGCAACTGATGAAGTACATCCTGATAATACTCTCGTTTTATAAGTAAGAAAATGAAGACACACAAGGGTCAGGGACTTGCCCAAGGTCACATCATTAAAAGTAAGCAGTGGTGCCTGAATTGCAAGTCCAGGCATTCTGGCCCCAGAGTCATCTTGAAATTGTTAAAACTGAGTGAGGGGCAGACATCAAAATGTTTTTGTCGGACAAACTTTCTTTGTTGCTGGTTCTCAATAGTGTTCATAAGGGGCATTGGGACCAGGAAACAATCATGTACTTGCAAGGACCACCTCTGGCCCGCATATTACAGAAGAGCAGTTCCGAAGCCTTTCCTCCTTTTTCCGTCCCACTTTCACACGTGCCAGGGTTTTGTCCTCTTACACCTTGCAGTGCTCCATTAATTTTCCAGAGGCAGCCTGCTAGTATCTGTCTCCCTGTCCAAATAGTCTTCGTTCTGCCCTTAATAATAGGGATATTCTCTCCTTTACAGAAGTATTGCGCCTTTCCCGCTCTCATTCTTCTGATCTAATACGTCTGGGCGATGTATGACTCCGCCTGGGTTTCCTCTTCTCTTTAACAAGGCCGTTGGAAAATATTTACATGCAGAGTGTTTCGCAGGTGGTGGAGAGCCCAGCTCTGGCTGTGGTTGGTGCTGGCTACAGAGGAACTGTCTTCATTCTGCTGCATTAGAGTCCCCTCCAGTGTATTGGGGTGGTATATTTATTTGATTTCCTTGTTTCTCTTTTCCTGGTTCCAAAACAATGGAGTAGGACTGTGTGGTGCCATGTGCAGGGGTTGGAGGGAAGGAAGGCCATGCCCAAGGAGAGAAGGACAAGAAAACGGAGAGGTTGCTGAGCATGAGGCAGGGAAGGGACGCCTGACATCTGGGAGGGCGAGTGGCCGAGCAAGGCAGCATCTGGCCTGGGCCTTGCCTCCTGACTCCTGGGAGTGCAGAATGAGCTAGAAAGATTGGGAGGACCACAGAAACAAACATTCCACATCATTCTGGCCAGGCATAGCCATTCCATAGGACTCCAAGCCCACAAGCCACATGTAGCTGAACACTAACTGATGCTTTAAGACTTTCCCCCCAGATTTATTATCATAAAGATCTTTAAACGTAAAAAATAGTTGAAAGATTGGTACATTGATCGTAAGTATTGTCACTGCCTAAATGGAACAGTTGTTAATATTTTTATTAACATTTTACCATATTTGCTTTATTGGTGTGTGTACTGATAATACCTAAGAATATATTTATATATGTGTATATATTTGTTTTACTGAACCATTTGAAAGTACATTGTGAACATCATGGCCCTTTATTCATAACCACTTCAGCTTACCTCTAACAGAAATTAAAATGTTCTCCTTAAAGACCCCAACACCATCACACCTCAGAAAATGAATAAACATTTTAATATCATCTAATATCTAGACAATATTCAAATTATCTATACTCTCCCAAAAACATATTGCCAGTATTTAGTCTAAGTTCAACTTTGCATTCAGGTGTTGTATCACTTCATTTTATTTTTCTAAGTTTTCTTTTTGTAACGTGTATAGAAAAAAGAAACAAGTTATAAGTGTCCAGCTCAGTTTTCACAAAGCGAAACATCTGTGTAACTATCGCCCAGATCAAGAGTAGAATATTACCAGCACCTCAGTATCCTACCCTCTGCTCCCTCCCCACCAGTGTGCCTCCCCAAAGATAACTATTACTCTGACATCAGTTACCATCAGTAATTTTTGCATGTTTTTGAACTTTATAGAAATGGATTCATACAGTTCAGACTTAATTTTGTCTGCTTATGAAATGCATCAGTATTATATATATAGCAGTAATTCCTGTATTCTCATTTTTTTATATACTATTACATTTTATTAATATTCTACAATTTATTTGCCCATTGTTGACTGGCCATTTGGATATCCTCTGTTTTCAAATGCATGCTAAGCCTATGCACATTTTTAAGCTAGGTTGCCCATCATTTTCCTATTAATTTATGAGTTGTTTTTATACAGAGGACATGAGATCTTTGTTAAATATACCTATTCCAAATATATGCTCTCACAGTGACTAGCCTTTCACTCTCTTAACTATGTGTTTTTCTGAGGAGCTGTTTATTTTAATGAATTCCGATCTTTCCTTTTATGGCTAGGGCTTTTTGTGTCCTTTTTAAGAACTCTCTGCCTACTCCAAAGTCATAAATATATTCTCCTTTGTTATCTCCGGTGAGCTTTACTGTTTTACCTTTTACACTTAAGATATACAATCCATGTGGATTTTATCTTTGTGTGTGACATTAGGTAAGAGTCAGATTTACTTTTTTTCCAAATGGATATCCAATTGAACCATTCCATTTATTAAACATTCTTTTCTCTCTACTATGTCAATATTGTCATATACCAGGTAACCATGTATTGATAGCTCTATTTCTGGACTTTCTACTATTTTATCTATTTGTTTATTCCCCCAGACAATACAGTATTAACTTAATTACTGTAACTTCATAGTAAATATTAAAATTTGCTAGTGTAAGTCTCCCAGCTCTTTTCTTCTTCAGTACTACCTTGACTATTTTTGGACCTCTGCATTTCCGTACATAATTAAGAGTCAACTTTTTAATTTTTAGAAAAAATATTTTCCTGGGATTTTGATTGGGTTTTCATTGAATGTATCAATCAATTGTAGAGAACCGACATCTTTACAATTTTGAATCTCCTAATCCACAAACATGGAATAAATTTTCATTTGTTTAAGTCCGCTTTCATTTCTCTCAGTGTTTTTGTATATTTCTGTAAAAAGTCTTTGGGCATCTTTCATTAGATTTAATTTTAGGCTTCTGATGTTTTCTGGTGTTGATGTAAATATATCATATATTTTATTATTTTATTTCAAATTTTTTGTTGCTTATATAGAGAAATACAATTGAATTTGTATATTCACTTTTTAGCTAGAGACCTAGTTAAATTTACTTTTTCATCTAAGTTGTTTTTTTCATATTTTATTTATTTATTTGAGAGAGAGAGAGCACAAGCAAGGGGAGTGGCAGAGGGAGAGGGTGAAGCAGACTCCTCGCTGATTCAGGGCTTGATCCCAGGACCCCGGGATCATGACCTGAGCCAAAGACAGATGCTTACCCAACTGAGCCACCCAGGCCTTCCTCATCTAAGTTGTTTGATTACAGATTCTTTGGTGTTTCTATAATTTTTGGATTTCTATGTCATCTGAAGATAAAGGCAATTCTATTTCATCCTTTCTAATATTAATACCTTTTTCTTGCTTTATTGATCTGGCTAAAAATGTCTGTATAATGTTAAATGGAAGAGACAATAACATAATTTTTGCATCAATTCAATCTCAAGGGAATTTTCAATATTTCACCATAGAGTAGGAAATGTACCACATGTTTTGCAGATGTCACTTACCAGATTAAAGCAGTTCACCTCTAGTCCTAGATTCCTAAGAGTTTAATTTGTAACCATAAATGGTTGTTAAATTTAATCAAATATTTTTCTGCGTCTAGACAATTGGATGATTTTTTTCATAGTCTTTTGTGGTTTATTACATTGATTATTTTAGTGTGAAACCACCTTGGAATTCCTGGAATAAAACCTATTTATCATAATATGTTATCCTTTTATTTACATCACTGGTTCAAATTGCTAGTACTTTTTGTAGAATTTTTTTGAATCTATATTCTTGAGAGAGATGGGCCTCTATTTTGGTAATATCCTTGTTCCATTTGGTTATCAAAGTTATGGTAGCTTCATAAGACAAGTTGGAAGGCGTTCCCTCTCATTCTTTTCTCTGAAAGAGATTCTTAAGACTCATGTTATTTCACCAAAAACTAATGATGTAATATATGGTGATTAACATAACAATAAAAAATAAAAAAAAAAGACTCATGTTATTTCTTCTTTAAATGTTTCAACACCTTCACAGTTGAAGCCCCTGGATCTGGAGAATTTTCTTTGGGAAGATGTTTATTTACAAGTAGATGTAGCACTATTTATGTTTTTGTATCTTTTTGTGTAATTTTTTGGAAATTATGGATTTCCAAGGATTTGTCCACTTCATATATATGTCAAATCTAGTAATAATATATTATTGTTTTAATATCTTTTAACTATATTTTAGATATCTATGGGAAATGTGGTTATATCTTCTCTTTCTTGCCTATTTCTGGAAATTTGTACTTTTTTTTTCCTTGGTCAATCTTACTTGGGTCTATTAATTTTACTAATCTTTTTCAAAGAACCAAATCCTGATTTTAGTGATTTGCTCTATTTTATTTCATTAATGTCTAGCTTTATCTTTATTATTTTAATCTTCCTGCTTTCTTTGGGTTTAATTTCCTTTTTTCTTCTAACTTTTGTGATGGATACTTAGATAATTAATTTTCAGAATTTCTTTTATAATAAAGCACATATCACTATAAATTCACCTCTTTAGCACAGGTTTAGTTATATCCCACAAGTTTTAAGATGCCAACTTTTCAGTTCAAAATATTTTTTTGAATCATTCAATTCAAAATATCTCTAATTGCCATTGTTAAATCCTCCTTGACCCATGGGTTATTTTTAAACATTTGGGGATTCTTTAGTTATCTTTTTATTATTGGCCTCAAGCTTAATTACAATGTGATCATACACCATACTGTCAATGATTTTAATTCACTCAAATGTGTTGAGATTTATTATATGACATCATATGATCAGTTTTGGTAAATGCTCCATATACACTTGAAAATAGTATGTGTGGTTACATTGTTGGGGGCAGTGTTTCATACATGTCAGTTAGTGTCAAAGAAAGAAATGTGACAATAGAAGCAAAGGTCGGAGTAATGTGATTGCTGGAACATGCCACAGGCAAGGAACGCAAGTGGCCTCTAGAACCTGCAAAATGCAAGAAACAGATTCTCTCCTAGAGCCTCCAGAAGGAGCACAGCCCTGCTGATGCTTTGATTTTAGCCCCATAAGATCCATTTCAGACTGCTTGCCTCCAAGACTTTTGCTGTCTTAAACCATATTTTTGGTAATTTGCTACAGCAGCCATGGCAAACTAATACACTTCTGTCTTTTTGCCTTCTTTTACTTTCAGGCTTTGTGCATCCCTGTAAGTTATGTCTCTTGTAAATAACGGTCTTTGGTGTATTTTGTGTTTCTTTTCCTTATACATCTGAGAATTTTTGCCTTTTTTTAAATTTTTGTCTTTTAATTAGAGAATTTAGATCCTTTTCATTTATTATAGTTACTGAAATACTTAAATTTGTAACTGTCATATACCCATTTGCTTATTTTTTTGCTTTTCTTTGGATAGATCCAGTATTTGTTTTATAATTCCATTTGTTGTCCTCTGTTAGCTTCTTAGATATACTTTCTTTTATCCCTGGAGATTATAACATGCATTTTGAGTTAAAAGAATCTAACATCAGTTAGTATTGTTTTCACTTCCTAGACCATACTGATGATTTTTACGTTTCATCCAGCTTTATAGTCATTCTCATTAGGAGTTCTCATCTGCTACAAGCTGTTCTTTCTTGACCAGCCTTAGGATTGTATTTCTACAACTTTGCATAAATCCCACCTGGTTCCTATCTCTCCTTTTCCTCCAAATAGCCAGTCCCCCTGGATGGGAAGAGGAAGAGGCAGCAGAAATGCTACTCTAAAAAGAGATTTAAGGCCACTTTCCACACACTAGCTTTGTTATATTTTCCTGAATTTGAGGTACTCACTCTATCTTCTAAACTGTGGTAAGAATGTTTTTAATCACACACCAAAAAATTAAGGTATTTGTATCCAATGCTCCCTTGGGCACTTGTCCGTCTCATTTTCTCTCTTATGGGCAAAAGCAGTTTGCCACACTGAATGAAATGGAGGCAGTAACCATAAGTGTATTCACAGCTAACCCTGGGTATCTAATAACCCCCAACCAGCTCCTGACTCTTTAAACCTGGGGAGAAAATTTGGGAGAGATCCCAACTTTCTTGAGAGTAAGGGCATGGGCAACCATTCATGTGCAGGACAGTCAGCAAATAAGACCATGAACTGCAGTGGCTCAGAGTGAGTGGAGGGAAGACCATCCATTGCTAATTTTTAATTATATGATCTTGGGCAAGTTGCACACACTCTCTAAACTCTGTTTCCTCTTCTATAAAGTGGTGAAAGTAATAATACTTCCCTCTTTTATTTGCCACGAAGGTTAAATGTGATAAATCAGGTAAAACACTTAATATAATGCCCAGCACATTAGGTATACTCAATAACTGCTAGCAATTTTTATTTTAATCCTAGCCCACTAACATTCTCACAGTAACTCCTACAGGGGCTCGGAAAGATCTAGAGGGACACAAAATCAGCAGATGGAAGAGTAACTGTAAACTTCACTTCTTTGACACTTTTGCCCTGAAAGTAGTTAAGAGATTACAAGGTTAATTTGTGAAATTTTCCTGATTCTGTCCTCTATCTACTGAGGGTCTAAAAATCAGGCAGTGGACCGGGGAAAAAAATACATCTGCTGCATTAAGATAAAGAAACGTATTTGAAAATGTGTGTGTAAGCCATCTTTTTTAGGGTGTGGTCTCAGCAAATGCTTCTCTCTATATATAGTCATTTACAAACATTTACTAAGCGCTTCCTATGTCCAGGTCATTGGGCAAAGCAGCAGGCATGCCAATAAAGAGCCTATGCCAAATGCCAATGCTCTATCTCCATTTCCTCTACATATTTATGTCATTTTGTCTTTGCTGAATGTCTCCGAAGTACATGCAACTGATATTCCAATTTTACAGGTTAGGAAACTAAGACACAAAGAGGTTAAGTAATGTTTGGAAGTCACACAGATAAATATTAATGATTTAGTCCTTGTCCTCATGGTGCTTACAGTCTACAAAATAGAAGGTGTTTTAGTAGAACATTTTAAAACTATATTAAATGTTTAAATGTAAACTTGTCCAAAAGCTGGCAGCCATCCAGGTAATCAGAAATTAACTTGATATTCAATTTTCACTTAAGCATTTGAAGTCATATATCCCCAGCCTAGTATCTCTAGCATTTCTGGCATCCCATGATTTGTACACATAAGAAATATAATCAGTTCCCTGTCCAAGTAATTTTAATGGCCTTTTAGTGGATTAAAATGAAATTCTATTAGATATACTAATGTAACTCTGGTATTTAAAAAATGTGGAGTGTGCTAACTACAAATAAAAGTAAGTTAACAGATAATTTTGTTAGAAGTGGTATTAAGAAAACTGGAATATTGTGTATTCAGTTAGCAAGACACCTGAAGCATAACTGAAGTTTAAGAGTGATTAGAATATAGACCATAATATGTGAGAGAATATTTAGCCACTATGAAAAAAACTTGAAATCAAGTGCAATGCCTAGGAACATATATGATTCAGAATGTTGCTAATTAATGTGCGATCTTGTTAAGAACATTATTTTATTAAGCAAGTGTGTGGCATGATTTCCACATTTTGAATTTGATCATTGTTGATCTAATGGGTGGGTCCAAGGAGACTACATCTGTCTTTGGACTTTCAAATGCCAGTACTACATTTTTAAGATGTAATATAAATATTACTTTGAAGGAGATCATTCTTGAGAAACCACAGTCATGCATGAAGGAAGTGTTACTAGGAGCCTGGAGCCAGAGAATATAGCTTCCTAGAGTTACAAAGGACCTTGGAGTTTCCTCAGGATTTGGGGGTAGAAGGAGAGAACTTAAATCAATAAATATTAATAAACAATGATCTGAGCACCTACTCTGTAGGCAACTATGCTTCGGGCTTAGGTGCTTCTTCATAACATTTTAAGTACTGTGTTTTGGGTTGTAGTCTGTGTTTTCTCTTATTCCTGCCATTCCCTCCCAACACACACACACACACACACACACACACACACACGCTAAAATTATAAGGAAGAGATAATTTTTGTCATGTCATGTCTGTAGTACCTAGAAGAATGTCCATCATCTGTGGTCAATACATAATTGACAGAGGAATATATGGAACAAAAAGATGGAAGACACAGCCTTACCCTTAAAAGGTGGCAGCACAGGGGCAAAGCAAGAGCACTGAAGTGGGGTGCAGAGACCTGATTCTCACCTTTGCTTGGCCAACACTTTGTCAGCCACAAGCAGAGGACCTCAGTTTCCTCATGTGTAAAGCAGTTGGACTATCTCTAAGATCTCCTTTTTACTTCCAGATTCTGTCATTCTGTGTCAGTCTTCAAATACGTGAAGAGCGTTCACCCTCAGGTATGAGAAAAAGAGCATTTGATCAGGGTTGCTCTGGGAGGTGGATCTCTAGCTAGTTGGGTTTGGGCCCTGCGTTAGCTTCCTGTGGCCACTGTCACAATGGAACACAAGCTTGGTGGCTGAAAACCACACAAGTGTATTCTTTCCCAGTTCTGGAGGTCAGAAATCTGAAATCAAGGTGTCAGCAGGACCCCATTCCCTCCAGTGGTTCAAGGCGAGGCTTCATTCAGCAAATCTCCTGAAATTAAACATCAACTGGACATCTCCTAGTTCTCCTAAAGACAGTTCATCAAATCCAATTGTATCCGTATCTCCAAGTGCGTAGGGCACCTCACCCAGCACCCTCCTCCTCTGGCTGATACGCTCCGAGTCTGTCTCTGGGAGCTGAGGCCCTTCTCTGAGACACTAGTCCAGGTGCTGGGGCAGCTTGCCCAGGAAGTGGATGGGACAAGATAGGAAGGAAGGGGGGGATGGTGCCCTCAAGGGGCTGTGGACAGGGGCAAAGGGCTGAAAGGCTGCCTACACACACCTAGAAGTATGTTCTGAACAGCAGCTTAACTGCAGGGAAACAGTACTTTGGGGCTGGCATGTGGCCTGCAGAAAATGGAGTAAGCAGAAGAAAATGCTGGTTTTTCCTTTTGCTTTTTCTCCTCACAGCCCACCCCCTTCTCTCTTCCTAATCTTGTCTCTGCCTTTCCACACATCTCCTTCTCTCCCTTTGTCTCACCTTTTGTTTCCTCTCACTTTTTTCTTTTCCATGCCAGATCATGTGAGTCTATGGGGGAAAGTTAATATCAGTGTGATTTGAGGGAAGTTGGAAGCCATCTCCACAAAGCAAGGAGACACACACTACCCTGTTCTTACACAGCGCACTGGCCCAGGAAGGGGTACGCTGAACATAAAACGCGCAGGTCTTGAGGAGGTAAAGGATTTGCCCGTACTGAGGAAAGTGCCTCCTTCTTTGTCCTCCTCAGCGCCTGAGAGGAAGGACTTAGGACTCCCCTCGGAAGGCCTGCACGCTGAGTTTGAGGGCAGTAGCCTTATGTGTACCCTCGTTGGGTTGTTTATTTTGTATAGGTATTTCTTAAAGAAAAAGACAGGTTTAGGGTGCTCAGGGTCTAGGTTCCCAGAAAAACACTATAACTTCATCCAAAACTAACATGTCTTGTGCATTATAATAGCTCCCTTTATTAAGCACCACACTGTGTAGTAAATTTTAGCCACACTTAGGTAATCCACTTCACTTATTAATCCTCTCGACTACCATATGTATATACATAAGAATTATTATTATTTCTACTCTAGAGATAGGGGAAATGAGGCTTGGGGAGGGCAAACAATTGACCCAAGTTAACAAATTGATAAATGTTCGAAATGAAATTTTGACACCAAGTCCCATGTTCTTTTTACCACACCATATTTCTCATTTAAAATAATTGACTTTTTGTATCCCTTGCAAATCTAAAAGTAAGAGACTCCATGATCTCTATAAAATCACCATTTTCATAAATTTCAAAATATATCCCTTCTTTGTCAGATTTCTTTATTAGAGTGGGTTTTAATTTCCCAATCTGTGCTCTTTCCAAGGAAATTTTTTCAGCTCATGCTTGAGAACTTCTTTTTCCCCCATGGTTACTTGTTTTATGTAGCAAATGCTTTCTGTAGCTAAATCAGGCACCATAATATTATTCTCTCAAGTATGCAGGGCTGAGCACAGGGCATGACCCATGGTAGACACTAGAAGTGTGTGAAGAAGTGAATTAGATCTGGCGAGTTCAGAGAGCATGAGGAGCAACTAGCATGGATAAAACAGAGGGAGGAGACTGGTCTATATGAGGAATAGGTTTGCCAGGTAGGATATGGTCAGATTAGGAAGGGCACTGAACACCGTGAAAATAGTTTCAACTTGATGTTTCAGACAAGTGGAAACAGCAAAGGCCTTTGGTTCAACTATTTGTAGCAATTGTAGATGCAGTGTTACAGAAAGGTTCTCCCCTACAGCTAAAAAGAGAATGGAACCAGATGTACCAGCCAATGATGGGTACGGAAATCCTCAAGCATGAACTAATGAGAGCTTAGACAGAGATGATGGAAATGGGAAAGATGTCTCAGCGCTGGACGAAGCTGCATTTCTTGTGTTTCCTTAGGACACTTATCTGTTTAAGTTATTTAGCTGAAGTGGCGAAGTAGTTGCTGATGCCATTAATAATGAAAACGACCCTGATATATTACACTTAAAATTGCCTTCTCAGGGCCTTGCCATTCTTTTTGTTTCATGTACTGGCATCATTATCTACTTGACACTTCCCCAAAATATATATTTAGGAAAAGCTAATACTTGAGAGACAACTCGAGTTTTCATTACAAGTTGATTAACAGGTGCAGCTGTGAGAGGCTAGCTGGCATCAGAAGGCCTGAGTTTTGATCTCCTTCCTACCAATTAGAAGCTGTGTGGCTTTTAGGCAAGTCATTTCACCATCTTGAGCTTCAATTTCCTCAGCTGTGAAATGAAGATGGCAATACCTATCTCCAGGATTATGATCACATTTAAATGGGGAAAAAAGTATATGAACGTACTTCGTACATTTTACGGTGCAGTGTGAGTGCAGAATCTTATTTTTGTGAGCAATTATACATAAATCGAGGCTAAAGCTCTCACTCCTTCAAAAAGAAACTTCATTAAAAAAATCTCGACAGTTATTTAATTTCTGTGGTATTGGGGTGTACCCAGCAGGAGGAAATGAGAGGAAGGGACATGTTACCAGAGGCAAGATACAAGGAAAGAATTTGGCATAAGAAACAAGGCAACAATTTTGTTCTGGAACCAGTACAATGCTGAGCTGCCTGAACTACTGGACTCAGGTTCTGGAAATTGCCCCTCTACTGGTTAGGCTGACACGTTTAAATTTAAGTGCAGGAAGTTATATTTATACCTATTTCATCTCGTTTCTTTTGGCTCACCAGTCCAGCCTGTCAGTATCTTTTTTGAATCTTAACTTGTCATCCAAGTACTTAGTTGTGGCTCCCAGCTTTGTGTCATCCTCAGATTTGATGAGTGTGCTTTCCATGCTTTGCTGCTGGTTTATTCTAAGTTCAGTTGAACCCTGTGGCACATCCCTAAAAAATCTTCCTTTAGAAGATAGCCAGCTTCAAAACCACTGGAGACACTCGCAGCGAGCCCCCATTTCTTCACCTTTGTATAAAAGCATCAAAAAAGGTAATGTCAAATGTCTTGCTAAAGGCTCGAAACACTGAAATTTCTAGCTCTGCCCTTGATTTTCCTCTCTCCACTCCCTTCTTACACACTCAGCTACCTCTGCACAAATGCTCACCTCCTCACCTCCTCCTCCCCCTCCTCCCACCTTGAAGTTACTCCTTCTGCCAAGGGCCACCCCTTCTGCCTGTGCCATGATGAATCTCAGCACTTCCAATCTCCTCTAGGTCTTCTAAAGCACCATTGTTCCTCTCTCTTTGTTTTCCACCTCTTCCTTAGCCTGGCACAGTGGCTCTCAACATTTAACAGGCATCAGAAGTTTCTGGAAGTCTTGTTACATCACAGATCTCTGGGGCCCAAGAATTTCCATTTTTAAGTTCCAGTGGTTCTTATGTGTAGTCCCTGGACCAGCAGCATCGGCACCACCTGGGAACTGGTTAGACGTGCACAACCTCAGGCCCCACTCCAGACCTACTGAATGAGAAATTTGGGGACTAGGACCAAGCAATCTGTTTGAACCAGCCCTCCAAGTGATTCACATGCACACCAATGTCTGAGAACCACTGGTGAGCATATGGAGTAAAAAGAGGGCTGTACAGCCAGGGAAATTTGAGTTTTGATCCCTGTTGTGTCCCTTCCTGTGTACTGAGGTCACTTGACTTACCATCCCTAAGCCTCATTATTTTAATCTATAAACTAGGAATGTTAATACCCACCTCTGTAGATGGTAATAAAGATTAAATGAGATAATGTACGTAAAGCACTCAGCACAATGCCTAAATATTCAATAAATGGAGGCTGTATTTACTTTATCATCATAAAAAAGTTCCTCCCTCCACCCTCTGTCCCACTCTCACCTCTGTAGCCAAGCCCATAAAAATCTCCATCGTCTGTCTCCATTTCCTCACATCTCATTACTCCTTACATTGCTGCAGTTGGCTTCTGTCCCCACCACTCCACTAAAGTGGCCTTGCTAAGGTCATCAGTGATCAAATTCCAAAAGTGCTAGATTCTACTTGTCTCTTGTTTCTAGTCTCTGTATTCTTTCTTTTGGGACATTTCTCTTTCAGTTCTTCTGTGACCTCTTTTGGCTTCCACATAGTCCCCCTTTCATAATCTTCCTTTTACCTTCCTGCTGGTTCTGTCTTGGTCTCTTTAACTGGTCCCTCCCTGCCACTACCTGCCTCTCAAGTGTCCTCCACAATTCACCTTCATTTCTTCTCACTCCAGACCACAGCATTATTTACCACCTAGCTGCCTTTCCAGACAAGAGCTCTCTGGACCTCAGACATCTCCAGAGGACAACTAGATGTCCCAACTTGAAGACCTCAAATTCAACACAACCCCGAGACCACACTCATTGGTGCTTGCTTGCCCAGATCTCTTCCTCCTTCTAGGTTCCTTATGTCTCCGGATAGACTGTGAGTTCTTAAGGTCAGAGATGAAGTCTGATTATCTCCGATCTCCATACCTGGCTTCAGAGCCAGGTAAGCACTTCATAATGGATTCATTTACTGAATGCATGAATCAACAAAGTGAATTATGTCCTATTGTCCAGTAACTTTCATAAAAAGAGATGAAACACTCACAAAACAAAAAGAAAATGAATTATTTCCTAAATCCACACTGTTGCTAGGAGTCATCACTTCCCTTTCTAAATCTTGATTTCAAATCCACTCTCCTTATTAATAATTAATAATATATGCCCATCCCAAACTTTGCATACTTCTTTTCATAAATCCTCCAAAATTACCAAGAGTAGTTTCATAATCACACCTGTAAGCACTTCAGTTCTGCTAGAATGCTCTCTGCCCAGAGACTTGAGCCCCTTTAAGGGAGCTAAGTGTTTCCTCACTATTGCTTCCCCATCCTCGGGTTTCTGTTCCTTTTTAACTCTACTTGTTCTATTCTTGTTAGTTTGGAGAGCATTCTCTTAAAAAAGACAGAGGTGAAATCAAAGTTTGGTAGGGACATTCTTTCAATCCTTTACGCTTATATCACCCATCCCTCCTCCATCAAGCCTTTATCCCATCCTGATTATTTAGTTAGAAACATGGGTTTGAATGTCCTTTTCTATTACCGTTAGCATTTTTATCATGATGAGTTTTAGACCTGCTGATTTGATTCTTACATTTTTAGTCACTATAGGAATATTCATTTTTGGCAATGATCCCTTCCTTCAATCTTTTGTGTTCTGGCTAAGGGAGACCAGGGTAGAGATGGAAGGGGATAGGGAGCCAGGCTGAGAACAGAGCAATTGTCTCCTGCCCTGGGGAGATCCCCAGTAATACAAGCAGCACAGGTATGGTGATTAACATAACATAATAAAATAATAAATAAATAAATAAAAAGAAGGACACAGAAACTGTCATCAGATCTCAGTAAGCAGAAAAAGCAAGATCTGGGCTGGCCAGGTGTCTCCCGTTGAACCAGAGTCAAGTATTTTAGCTTCTTATCTGATAACCTGAACCTTTTGAATTTGTTGTTATTTTAATTTTAGATTTGCCTTATCTTAATTCCAGATTGCTATTTAATCAGCAGTGGTTTGGAACATTTCAGCTTTTAGTTTCTCACTAAGTTAAGTATTTAATGATCTGTAAACAAACACTTGAGAAGATGCTACTTAAAGGGACTCTGATCCCTCTGTACTGAAGTGAATGAATCCACTCTTAAATTTATCTTCCAATTTTCAAGTAAGCATTCTGCTACTAGTGTCAAAAAAAAAAAAATTGGCTGGGAATGATGGGGGTTGAAGGGAAGGAAGCATCACTATAGGAAGTTTGTGGGCTTTTTAGCCCCCACCCCAACTGGGGGTACAGTCTTTTGATGAAGGCTCTCTGGCCATGGTTACTGGGGGATGGGAAGGTGTGGAGGGGGCTAAGGAAGGGAGAAGGAAAGCTGGGAGGTGAAAGTATAGGACCAGGAGCACACCAGGACTGTGAGGGGCAAGAGTACTCCTGTGAGTATAGGTTGAAATCCAAGAAGAGAAACTGCAAGAGGAAATTACAGGAATAAGAGAGAAAGAGGAATTAATTTTTTTTTTTTTTAGATTTTATTTATTTTTTTTGACAGAGAGACACAGCCAGAGAGGGAACACAAGCAGGGGGAGTGGCAGAGGGAGAAGCAGGCTTCCCGCAGAGCAGGGAGCCAGATGTGGGGCTTGATCCCAGGGCCCTGGGACCATGACCTGAGCCAAAGACGCTTAATGACTGAACCACCCAGGTGCCCCTAGAGAGATTAATTTAAACACAATTTAAACACAAAGGTGAATTCACAGACAGAAGGAAACCAAAAGATGGAGGAAACATTAAAAAGCAAACAAGAGAAACAGAACGAAGGTGAGTAGGAAAGACAACTACTAGTTATTTACACTCACTTCAGATTCCAAGAATGGGATTGATATTCTGCTGGTTCTGGTGCTGGGAGCACATTCTTTTGAAATATGCACTCACCTGAGACCTCCCTATTTCTTTGGATAACTAAATTTTATCCCTCATAAGAATCATTTCTCACAGGACTGTCGGATTTTTTTTTCTTTTTCTGATAGCCACTTGTGCCTCTTGGGCTCTTTCAGAGTCTCAGATTCAGGGAGTATGCTTTTTGAAAAATCTACCTCTCCATAGAAGTTAAGGTTCTCTCCTCCTCTGGCTATTACATATATCATAGCACAGTCACTTCCTCCTCAGCAGCTCATCTTCCTTTATTCATCAGAACTTGGTTCAGAGCAGCAGGTCCCCTTTTCACTTCTAAGAAACGAAACTGTCAGGAGGGCAAGTCAAGGATTCTCAGATGTTGTTCTCCCAATTTATTATCATTCTCTCATTATATTTGAAAATCTGTCATGATGAGGTTTCAGCTACAATCCCCAAAAAAGTTTCCACATCATTCCTTACCTGAGATCATAGAAGTGGAAACAATCCACATCACTTCCAAGCAGCCTCTGTGATCGCAGATGCCATCACCATGCAGGTAGCTCCAGAAGATTTCTTGGCCTCTAAGACTGCCAGGGCGTGAGGAGGTAGAAATGGGCAGGTTTCTTAGGGCCAAGGTCACCAGAATTAAGTCCCAGCTTGAAGCAATGAGGAAAGCAGAAGTCAAAGGGAAGAGCAAAACTGGAGGACATGCAGTGTGCAAAGACCCCAGATGTCCAGAGGGGAGTGTAAAAAGCATTAAACATGGTGTTCTGCCCAAATGTCAAATGGTCGGAGCCAACATTTGGGTGTGGAGCCAAGAGTTCATTAAAAAAAAAAAAAGCCAAGTACAAAAATACTTGGAGCAAACCTTTGGTTTATTTTGATCATGGCTTTGATTTATCTGGTTTTGCTGTTTCACAGGTTCATGAGTGCAGAAACTCATCTGTTTAACTTTACCACTCTGTCCCTGGGGCCTGGGACAGCCCTGGCATATAGCAAGTGCTCAGGAAATTCATAGTGAATCAATCAAACATCAGTGTTTTCAACTATTTCTGTTTGTTTTCTTGTTAATGGACCAGGAGGGGTGTGCACACAGTGATTAGCAGTGATTTCAAGGGCAAACACCAAAGTGGAGACTATGCTGCTGCACTAAGTCAACCCACTGGGCCAAAGTCTGTCCTCTGTCTGAGTTACATAAATTCATAATTCTCCTGCATTTTCAATATGCTAAGCAATCCCTACTAAGAGAGATGAGAGAACAAACCTGCATTATGGATAAGTATGCCTCTCACACAAAAAACCGAGCATTACTAAGGCTGCATGGGAATGTTAATGTCTTCTGTGCCATGGGTAAGGTTAAAAAGAAAGACAACCCCTTTGAAATTATAATAAAATACATTCTGAATTATCTAAAAGTTTCAAACAAACAATTACTCTTTAGAAAGGTCTTCCCTCAGCAAAATTAATCTGAAACCTTAGATCACACAATTAAATATATTTTCACCTTGGTTAAAATTGTTAATAGTGGGAGTCTTTAGGAAGGCATTAATGGGCTTTTTTTGTTTTGTTTTGTTTTTTTGTAGTGCAAAAATGAATGGATTCAATACCTATCTGAACTGTATAATAATTTAACAATTCTTGGATTCCAAGCTAACATTTCTGTCAGAGCAGTGACCCCACTCTCATCATTTATGTTGAAGTCTGCCCAATACATTCAAAAGATTTGTGCTTATTATAACACTGTACAGCAAGACACTTTCATTTGATAACCTTTGTGGCAATGGAAACTCAATCACTAATTCTTTGCAACTTTAAAATGTGAACCTTTGAGCCCCACTTCTGTAAGGACTCAGAACACTTTCTGTGCTGGTTTGCCTGATCCTGAGCTCCAACCTCTGTGCCTCTCCCTCAGGAGCATGACAGGCGCCATGTTCACTACCCGAAGATGTGGCAAAGGGAGAGCACTCACGAGCACGGTTCCTATGAATGGATGGGCTTTCCCAAGCTCCTCTCCTGATGTTTGCTTCCCCTGAGGAGGATAATTTGGTGGCCATGTCCTTGTTGTTGAGAAAGCTGAGCATGAGGGAAGGCCATAGAAGGCAAATGGGGAGCAGCATTTGTTCAGTCTTTCTCAAATTGTCACTAACATGCAGAGGCTACATTTGAGTGGGTAATAATAAAAGATAAATGCAGGATATCATGTGGAGTGTCATACATTACAGAGTTAAAGGAAAGAAGACTTATTTTTTTTTAAGTTTTTATTTATTTATTTGACAGAGAGAGAGACAGCGAGAGAGGGAACACAAGCAGGGGGAGTGAGAGAGAGAAGCAGGCTTCCTGCTGAGCAGGGAGCCCGATGCAGGGCACGATCCCAGGACCCCAGGATCATGACCTGAGCCTGAGGCAGACACTTAAGGACTGAGCCACCCAGGCGCCCCAGGAAAGCACACTTAAAATGGGTCCTAGGTAAATGGGCAAGAAAGCTCCTTTCTCTAAATCACTTTCCTTTTGGATACCCACCAAATGCTCACAGATACCCATGGCCATGACTGGAAAAAAGGAGAGAAGAGAAAAAAAAAATTATTTTCTCTACTGACACTCCTTCCCTTAGCTCTGACCCTAGGCACAGTCCCTTGGGGCTGTGGCTGATTATAGGAGTGGGCAGTTAGCTGGCTGCTGGATGAGGAACATAGAGAAGTAAATTCTGATGCCGAGCAAATATGTAGGCTTCCCATGGAGGCGGGACATATTAGCAAGGAGGTGCAAGCATCCTAGATATGGTACAATTCTGACCAGTTCCAATGTGTATGGGTTTTCCACCACCATTAAGCAATTCTTGGACACCAGCTGGGTGTCCTACAATGCAACTCAATTTGGACACTTATCTGTCAAGCTCCCTTCACTTAGGAAACTCCAAAGGTTTTAGGAGCTCTGTGCCAGACACAAGGATAAAGACCAAACATATATTTATGATAAATCACAGTATCACATGTGGACATTCTGGAAAGCAAGGGAAGGTCTAAAGCATCAAGGCTAAGGCCAGACAGCAAAATGGGATCTTTAGAAGTTGAAGTCTAAAAGAATGAGACCAGATAAGACCAAGAGGGTGAGTTTAGGAGACTGAGCCCCAAAATGTCCGGGACACAATGCTCCAGGGACAGGTTGTGAGAACCTGCGTGTATGTTTTCTTAGGCAGAAAGTTGGGAAGGAGAAGTTAAGGGACTCATGCTTGTCAGGACACGTTCAGGATTGCACGCCCAGTTCTTTACATGTTTAAGCATATAAAGTTTGTGTGTGTGTGTGTGTGTGTATGTGTTGAGAAGGGTGTTTCTGTCTGCTCCCTTAAGGGTCACAGTGGCACCTAACAATCTCCCCAAGTAGCAAGTCATTCACTCAGTCATCATTGAGCATAAGGTAAGGCCCAGCATTGGGCTGGAATCAGAGCTGTTCTTATCAATAATCCATGCTCAGAGGATTTATTTTGTTCAGCAAGAAGAGACAAGTGAGCTAAATAAAGCCTTTTTTTCTAGAGAGTTTATGACATTTGAAGAATGATGTAGGTTATTGTTAATGCCATGTAAGCACCCTCTAAAAACATAAAAATTCTCTGAGGAGACCTGAATTACACGTGTGAGGAATGCCTCCCTATCTGTTCAACTGATCTCAGTCACGGGGAAGGGATGCTTACGGAAATAAAACAGGAAACATGACACAAACAAAACCATTTATAACACATGAAAATGGGCAAGCAAGAAGGGTGGCGTGCATGAGGTGTAAAAAAAAGAGCGCATTTGTACCGAATGCTTCCAATGAATTGTTCAAGAACACTTCATCCTTGGAGTAGGATTTCCTCTAATTCTGTCAAGGTTGGTGTCTGCATGGGTTATGTGCCAAGTAATTGTCCGGTTGCAAGTTAACAGTGTCAAGAGACTATTTTAAAGATGAATAGGAACATAAAACATACTTTGTCCTATTCTCCACTTTGAATATATCTCTGGAACAAAACTTGTACTTGAAATGGAGAAATGTGATTTTTATGAGTTACAGGGTTTTTTTCCCTTTCACACGACTGACAGAACAAAAACATTTAGAGGAAGACAGCCCAATGTCTCGTAAGTATTTGTATATTTGTTCTTACCATGGCTTACAAGGGACACTGCGAACCCCCTCCCTGACTGAACGCTGAGTATTATTTAAGCCCTGCCATTACACTCCAGTGCTTTCCAATAGCTAAAAGAACTTTGCATTTCTTCCCGTAGGAACTGTAAACTCAAAAAGAAAGATTCTCCTGCAATAAATTGTATCCATTTTATTTTCTGAAACAGTTACTTATTTAAAAATATGTGCTAAGAAAAAGTAAAAGGGAAGAGAGAGGGCCTCTATTTATGAATCATGCTCTTTTTTATTCATACTATTTCCAAGACCAGGCAAATTATCATAATCTTCCTAACAGAGATACACAATTCCACCTAAGAATTACTGTTTTCCTAAACCAGTGAAAAAGCAAAGTTTCCAATAGATGCTGAGATAAATCATCTGTGTGTGCTTATATGTGCACCTTTTGTATTTCACGGTTATAAATAATTCCCAAACCCAACTTTGTGTCGGTATTTTAATATGGATTCTTTGTATTCCTCTGCTGGTGTCATTTCTTTGGATTTAATCCTTATCCCTTACAGGCCGGCACCAGTCCATTCAGTATTCTGACGGGACCAAGCCACCACCCCACCTAAGAATATCAATTATGTTTTGAAAGCATACGATTTGATTCATGCAGAAACCACTGTATATGCATCATGGTGTTTTCATAAAGACTCCCTTATTTACTCTAAACAGTGTTATGACTTTCACTGTATGGCCACATAGTAACTGTTTAACCTTAAAGACTTAACTCTTTTCAAGAAACCTTAAAGAAGCAAAAGGAAAGCTTGGCCTCAAGAATACATTTTCTGTTCTTAACAAAAATCAGCTCTGCTCTGAATAGCTGAAATGAGGCAAAGCTTCAAAGCTGCAGCCGTAAGTGCTGTACTGTAGAGAAGGCTCTTCACCTATGTCTGAATGTGCAAAGGAAAGGAACTTTCTGCCAGCTGAATGTGTGTTTCCCAACTTTTTCTCCTCATGCGTATCTAAAAAGGATACTGGACTAGAATCCCTAGTAGGTTTCCTATTTAAGGCTTGTTAGCAAGGGATTCCCACAGTAGCATCTGGAAATACACACACACACACGCACACATGCACACATGCACACACACCCCACCCCACTTCTTTGCTCACTCAGAATTATCAAGACTTAACCCTAAGACACTAAGAGGCTCAGATGAGCCCATCATCTAATCGAAAAGCCATCAGAAATGAAAAAGCCTCCCTTTTCCTCTCCCTATTAAATGGGATCATGGTGGACAAGATTCACCCACACCGCTCAAGCCCTTTGATCCTAGAGACCAAATCCCGTTCATCCTCTTCATACAGTGAGTGTACCCATAAGGCACAGACACACAGAGACACATATGCTTATGCACACATGCATGCAGTGACATCAGGGGTGGTCACCCTTTTCTTCTATGTGTCCACTTACCACATTACCATTACCAACAAGGGAAAACATTACTTCACCTCCCAAAACCAATCCCAGTGCCCTTTGCCCCGTGGAAATGGCACACATTTCTGCATGGGGGCTTCTGTGTAGGAGTCAGAAGCTCTGCAATTCTCCAGACACAGGCTCATCTAGAGATAATGAGCACAACTGTACAGTGGAGAATACAGATGAACAATTGCAGTACAGTTGAAGACTGCTCTGTGCAGCCTGATTATCCACAATGTACCATGCTCCACCAGGATCAGTGTGGCAGAGGGGAGCTGTTTCCCCTGTGCCATTCTTCTAGCATCAAGGGTTCCAACTCATGTAGAAAATTCCTCATTAAAAATAGTCAAAAAGAGAAACTGATATTGCTCCTGAGAAGACTAAGGAAAAGCCGTTCGTATACTCATCCTTGGAGGTCTGTAGCACAGTTTGCCCATAACCTGCTTACCATGCTCCTTAGGATGGATTTTGAAATGTGGTCAGATTGTTCTAAACGTTTCCCTTCATTTTAATTCTTTAAAATAAACACACAAAATTTTTTTGTGAATATTCCTCCAATATTTTCATAGATCTATGAAAGTTTTTTTTTATTTTATTTATTTATGGGGGGGGAGCAGAGAGAGAGGGAAGGAGAGAATCTCAGGCTGACTCTGCTCTGAGCACAGAGCCCAATGCAGGGTTCAATCTCAAGACCCTGAAATCATGACCTGAGCCAAAATCAAGAGTCAGATGCTTAACTGACTGAGCCACCCAGGTGCGCCATATGCATTTTTGTTTATTAAGATCAAACTACATAGACTTTTGTTAAACTTTTCACTAAACATTTTACTTTTTCATTATTCTTTGGTAAGAATTTTTGTAATTACTCTGACACAATTTTTTGACATTTATTAATTTAATTAAACATTAAACATTTAAGTATGATTTGGAGATGAATTCATCTGTGATATGGATCTGATAAAGCCTTCGGAAGTCCAGATGCATTGAATACACAGGAGAATTATTTTTCTGTTTTATAATCCATGTTTAAGAAATGAATTTGTCTGTTCTCACTGATGGTTTCCAATTCTTGAGAACTTAGGTGTTGGTCTTTATTAAGTCTAGGCATGATACTAGCTGGCTGGGTGTGAAATATTATCTCACTTGTAAAAATAAACAACTCTTTATTTCTTCACAATTACAACCACATTTGTTATTAGGTGCTCTGTATAACCCTAATGACAATTTAATTCTAACTCTTAGGCTAAAAGAGCATGAGCAGAGCTGAGAATCTGCAGCTTGCTTCGTTCACTGTAGAACCTCTAATCTCTAATCATCTTGCGAAGATACTTGTCAAGACAAAAGTACAACATAGAATGGGCCACGTGAGCAGTCATTTTAGTACAAATGAAAGATTGTTGACTGTCTTTGGCTTTTAATTCTGCAGACCAGAAGCAATTACAGGTTAAGCTGTCAGTCTCCAAGCTGGTAATTCTTACATAAAATCTTCTCTTTAGCACCACCATGAGACTTGGGGTCTGTAGAAAACTTCCTATATGATCAAATCATAATCCAAATTTCTTTTGAACTTATACTTGAATAAAATAAAACCTATTCAGGATGATTTGAAGCACA